TGGCTACTGCTTTGTTCTGTGCTTTTCATCTAATATTGTTTCCCATGACTCTAAATATTCTTCAACATTTTCAATAGAGTAGTGGTTCACCAAGTAAACATTACATAATGAATGAAAAATTTTCCGTACCGCTGGGATAGATTTATTATTTGTCTGTTTCTTCACTGCTTTTGTACATGATGCCTCAGTGAGTATCCTTTGCACCTAAATCTTTTTCGTCGTCACTCCTTAGGATAAATTCCTAGGAGTGAAATTGCACGTCACAGACTATGGACATTTTCAGACATATGATGCATATGGCTAGGATTATACACTTTTGACTAAGATCTTCCAAAGTGACTCGTAAGACGAGTTGTCCTGGGTTGAAAAGTATCTTTTCCCCCCAAATTCAAGTCTATCCTAAACCTCAGCATGTGAAATAGCATGTCTTGGCAGATGTAATTAGTTAAGATAAGGTCACACTAGATTAGGGTGGGCCTGAATCCGACGACTGAGGTCCTCACAAGGAGAGAAAACAGACGCAGAGAGGAGAACGCCATGGGACGGTGGAAGCAGAAACTGGACTGATGCCTCTACAAGCCAAGGAATGCAATGACTTCCGGAAGCCACCAGAAGCTAAGAGAGCAGCAAGGAAGGATCCTGTAGAGCCTTCGAAGAACAGGCTGTCCTTACTGACACCCTTATTCCAACTCCCAGCCTGCAGACCCGAGAATAACTTTCTAATGTTTTAAGCCACCGAGTGTGTGGTACGTTCTTGCAGCAGCCAAAGGAAATGAATGCATTACCTTTCTGAAGCCCCACACGTAGCCCGTCGTAGGGGGTGTGTGGACTTGATGAGCACGCCAGGAGTGAGACTCATTCCAGACAGAACAATGTGCTCGCGCTGCACCGCTTCCTGGAAATACTGGGCAGAACTCTTTCTTACCTATAAGGCTGATCTTAAATCCTTTCCCTCCTGATCACTCAAGCTGGGTGAATTTATTCATTTGGTGTTATTTTTCATTTAATTTTACTATTTGCAAAACACATCCAATGGTCTATTTACACATCAAATGTTGTCGCTGTACAAATCAATTAAAAATGTCCACATGCTGAGAACTATGTAATTATAATTCTGTTAAGTGTTGGGTACTGTGCTAGGCACCCAACAATTAACATTTCATCCAACTATCATAAACCCTCAGTGAAGTAGGTTGTGTTCTGTCTTTAACTGCTAAGGGATTGAAGTCTGAAGGTAAACAGGCGGTAGTATGTAGTTGCTCAATAAATATTTGCTGATGGATTTGTGCCAAAAATAATGATTAGCTGTGAGATTCTGTCGCAAAGCACTCTGTGTGCCATGGCAATTCACCAATTCTGTGGTTGCGCCGTGAGTTATGTGAAGTAGCTACTCTTATTTCCACTAATGCTCTGGGATTTGTGGTATTTCTTGCCTTTGCAAATGCCTGAATTAGCAATGAAACTAGCAGAGTTTGCCACCATAGCTGAGCACATAGCAGTGTGCCAGAGAAAAGGCTTTGTGGATTGTTAGCAGGGATTGTGGGACGAGAGAGAGCAAGTTTCTGGTATAAGTTTACGGATCTCCTAGGTGGAAATGCATTGGCCCTTTTATACTAGAGCCACAAAGGCTATACTGTAAGTCGTATTAAAATTTATTCTCAAATGTTTTATTAAGTGTGGTAAAGGAACAATTTCACTTAAAAGGAAGACTGAAACTCTGCACCCTTTATAATGTTAAAATAAAAACTAAACTGCCAACAATGATATTCTCCCTATCTTCAATATGATACTTTCAATGGTATCCCTGAAATATTAGAGGAGTTACCAAAGCTTTAAAAATTAGACATGTATAGTGTTTCTTAGGAATACAGAGATATTTTTAGACATGTTTTATTCATATTTATATCTTTAACTCTTAGCAGAGTGCTTGGTATATAGGAGGTACTCGATAGATATTTGGTGAGTACATGTTACAGCTACGACACAGAAGATAAACTTTACATTTCAAATTCTAAGGTGTCTGTCTTAGGCGAGGCACAGTCAACAGGTCCTTGGTTGGCTTGTGTGTATCTAGAAGGCATCCTGTGACATATTTACCTTCTGCATTCACGACCATAGTTCCCATCACCCCTTTATGGCTCTGGATCCTCTTTAGGGTTTCTTCCACCTCCGCCTGAAGAGATCAAGAAGGCAACTAACCAAAGGGGGTCTTTGCGGCAACCCTAATCCTAAAGTAAATGTTTAGAAAGACACCTACTCCCCCGTCCCCTTAACCTAAGGTACTGCATACTATGATCTCAGACCTTCGGAAGAGACCTTTGAAACTGCCAAGTCCTGTCTCCAAGCCTGCATAAGACTCCTGCATACAACTCTGACACATCTCTTGGTGTGAACTCTTCTAGAGAAGGAGAGCTTACTACCTCACAAGAGCTCACTCAATTTTTAGTGTCTCTATTTGCTGGAAAAGCATTCTCTATATTGGACAGAAATCTGCTCCCATTCATGTTTTACTCATTGATCTTTCTGTATTCGTATCAAAAATTCCTTTTCTGTATTACACTTCTTTAAATAGTTACAGAGCTATTGTCATTATCTCCCTCTGTCTGAAAGTATCCCTTAGGGGTGCCTGGGTGGCTCAGTTGGTTAAGCGTCTGGATCTTGATTTCTGCTCAGGTCATGATCTTATGGTTCGTGAGATCAAGACCCATGTTGGCCTCCATGCTGACAGTGCACAGCCTTCTTGGGATTCTCTCTCTCTGCCCCTCTTCTGCTTGTGTGCATTCTCAAAGTAAATAAATGTAGAAAAAAAAGTATCCCTTAATGAGAAATCTTATTCTCACTCCTAAATGTTACCTACTTGGGAGTTCAGATGATTAAATTCAGGATACTCTGTAAACACAACATATCCCAGGATTCTCTTGGTAACGTGCCTGGGTCTCAGTGCAAGCTGAATGTTCACCCATGAATGATTGTTGGAGCCCCACTGGGTTTTAAACTCAGCTTTCTGAATTAATCTTACGCACAGACTATCTTGTTACCAGTTTTATTCCCTTCTACAAATGCTAAAATCACAAATAATCTTTTTCAGACCTGCATATGACTCCTGAGTAATCACTGGATATTCCGAATTCAAGCAGTATCCTGCAGAGTGTCTTGATGAGGGTTTGTTTTTTTTTTTTCCCCTTCTAACCTCAAATGGGTAAACATTATGCTACTTTAGTCAAAAGACAGTTTTCTTTTGGAACGGCTGGGTGGCTCAGCTGGTTGAGTGTCTGACTCTTGATCTCGGCTCAGGTCATGGTCTCACAGTTTGTGATTTCAGGCTCGGCAGTGACAGTGTGGAGCCTGCTTTGGGATTCTCTCTCCCTCGCTCCCTGCCCCTCCCCTGCTCACACACTCTCTGAAAATAAATAAATAAACATTTTTTTTTCAAAAGATAGTTTTCTTTTGCCTTTGATGTGGGCAGGAACACTGATTTCCTCTTTTCCACACCTACGGCATGTGCTTGCTGAATTTCAGGCGTTTGTGTACTGGAGTCACATTTTTGGCCATTACGAATATCATCTATATTATATACCTAGCATGTTCTTTAAATTATCTCACTACTAAAAGCTACTAAAAAACAAATGGATTTTTACAAGGAAACTACAACTACACATCACTACCACAAATGGAAAGCTGCTACTATTTGTCCGAGACAGAAATGACCGTAAGAACGCACAAAATGAAGAGAGTGCATATTATTAAATTCTACCCCAAAGAAAGGTCTGAGCCTGAGGTCTGATATTCAGGTGAAACATGGAAAATACCAAATGACAGTGGTACTCAGGACCTAACCGTGCCAGGAGCTTACTTGGATACAGTCTCCAGGCTGGGGGAAAAAATGGAAGAGGAGTAACTTCCTCAGGTGTGATTCGCTCTGTGTGATTTGTTATTTCTGAGCTATTTTACATCGCAACTACTGTTTGCGTCTCACTTTGGGAAACACTGCACCAAAGCACAAGAGTGATACAGGGGATCCAGTATCATATTTTGGCCGTCTTTAACACAATGTGCATAGCTCCCTACAACCACTAACCCCCCTTTATCTTTTTTTTTTTTTTTTAACTTCTTTCCCAAACGGCTCTTTCTGCTGTCAGCATCTCCCTCTCTCCTTCCAGTTGTTTCTTCCGTGATTTCTGCACCCCTCCAATACAATCTCTTAATCCCCATCTCCAATCCCCTTTCACCTCTCTTAAAAAACTCACCTTGCTCCTCTTCAAGCTATCCCCAGTCTCCGCTTTCTGTCTGTTTGTTTACTGATTTATTTATTATCTCTCTCCTCCCTTTCCTCTTTCTTTTGTTTTCTTCTTTCTCAGTATCGCCTCCTTCTCCCCTCTCCTCACCCCGCTGCTCTCCCTGGGGCACCTTTCTTCCTTCCCAGGATCTGACTTCTCTCCCTCTCGCGTCTTTCCTTTGCAAACTTCCCTCGCTCTGGAGCTCTCTCACCCCCTCAAGATCTTTCATCCCCCCAGTCTCTCTCTTCTCCTTCTCGGCATCCACACCCCGCAAGTTCCACTCGCCAGAGCCACCCCCCTTGATATCTATCCCTCAAGACAGCTTCCCCCATCTAAGCATCTTCTCCCCTCCAAGGTCTCCCTCTCCCTCCTTCAGGGTCTCCCCGTCGCCTCTCCAAGAATCTTCTAGAGCCCCCAGCCTTCGCCACGGCCCCCGGACCGGCTGGCGAGGGACGGCCTCGGGGGCAGGGCAGCGAAAGTCCCCCCTCTCACCCCCCGACGTCGGCGCCCCTGAAGCGCCGGGTCGCAGACGGAGGCTCCACATTTACCATCGTGCGAAACGCGGCTCAGCCCGGCGTCACCGCTGCCCGGGAAGTCAGCAACGCTTCCAGCCGTTGCTAGGCGACGGGGGAGGAAGTGACCTCCCGGAAGTGCGGGTGCACGCGCCTGCGTGTCCGCGGGTCGGTCGGCAGCCCGGGGCGGCTCTTCCGCCCTGAAGTGGCGTTGACGCCTCCCGGCCGCCGTAGGCGGAGGTTGGGGGCCGGTGGCCCCGGGCGCCCACTTGGGTGCCCCCAGCCCCGCGGGGCCGTGGGCCTGAGGACGCTCGGCGGGCACAGGCCTGGTCATTCGTTCGTCCATTCATTCACTCACTCCTTGAGGTACGCCTTAAGGTAACAGCCACTGCCTCACTCACGAGCGTTTTCTTGACCGCCTGCCACGTGCCGGGCGCTCTAGGCCCGAGTGCTTTCTAGCTGGGGGAGCCAGGCCAAATGCGACCCGCGAAGCAACACTTTCCAAGTGTGATACGTGCTGCGGAGCAAATAAGCAGGGGATGGGTCCGTCTCACTCCCGAGCTTGGGCCGCTTTAGAGATTTGGTGATAGGCTCAGCTGCTTGGCGAGGCCCAGTGTCCTCGCTTTCTCGGTGCCCTGTGCAGGCGGATACGTGTGGGGGGG